TCTGTACCGAAAACTCGCATCTGACCGACAATACCAGTTGTTTGCCACCTGAGGAACTGATGAAAACTCTCTCTCAACGACAATTCTATTCGCCAGAAAGTAGCAGTTAGGGGATTTTTTTTTTTAGTTTGTTGCTGGGTTCAATTCGTTTGGGCATACGTTGTACCTCGCATTTTCAAGAAAACAATGATAATTACTGATTACTGGGTAACATTTTTAACATGCATATCTTACATCTTGGCAATGAATGAATGCATAATAGTCAGATTCACCTTTTATGCATAGAGGGAAAAATAGTATTCAGCGCACATAAGCAGTACTCTGTACCTCAAGTATTCTGTGAATTTTTTGTGCACTTGAAGTTTTTAGAACCTTCATAACATGTATCCATAGTGTTCCAATTTTTAAGCAGTTGATTCAACTCGATATAAGATTTACAGATCTAACACAGAGAACTACTGAAATTTAAACCAACAATATATGGCGCCTCAATTTCTAGCCTGTGTTGATCCCGATTTCCCATCATGCCAATGGATCAACTTGACACAGGATGAATGTCTCATTCCGACAGGTGGAAGTGGTGTAATGTGATGGGGACTGAAAATAATAATTTCATCTTATTCGATTTTTTTTTTGAAGATATTCCCAATTTCAACCACGAGTAAAGATGTTGTGCTTCTGTCTGATTAACCCGATCCAACCAGTACTACTATGTATCATGTATGGTCTTTTCCATGTATGTCCAAATTTGGGTTCAACAACTGGTGCTGCTGGTATTCCTATTCAAATCCAACCTAAAATGGTATGATAAGTTTGCACACTGAAATTCATCCTTGAAATTTGCAGCACTACTGGTTTGTTTTGCTCCTCAAATTGAACAATTCACACTCTCATAACTGGAACCACCAATTCATTTTTATTTTATTTTTTTTCTGAGACCCACAAGCAATTCATACCAGATTGCTCATTATCAATGCTGCCAAGTTGGCGTATTACTCTGTTGTCTAACAAAAGAAAAAAAAAACTCCAGATTCTTTTCATGCGGATCTTAACACGCTGCGGTGATAGGCTAATAATGTGTAGCATAATACTGTCTTACCTAAAAATACACACAGAAAGTACAAACCTTGTCCACTTTTAGGATGCCACCGTCTAAAATGATCTTGCCAAAAAAAAAGTTAAAGAATCATATGATCCTATTCTAAATTTTCAGCGACGGTTTACAGAGGCCCGAGAAACACGTATGCAGAGAAAATGCAGAGGAATGCCATGAACGCAAGGATTCGTTTTTTCTTTTTTTAACGAAACACAGTGAATTTAAAGAACAAGAGGATATGTATATATAAAATCGACGTGTACGTTACCTTGGAGGCAGTCGCAGTTCTCGGCCTCCTTGCGGACGACGTCGAGGACGGAGTCGATGAGCTCGGCGCCCTCGGTGTAGTGGCCCTTGGCCCAGTTGTTGCCGGCGCCGGACTGGCCGAAGACGAAGTTGTCGGGGCGGAAGATGCCGCCGATGGGGCCGGAGCGGAGCGAGTCCATGGTGCCCGGCTCGAGGTCCATGAGCACGGCGCGCGGGACGTGGCGGCCGCCGCTCGCCTCGTTGAAGTAGACGTTGATCCGCTCGAGCTGCTGCGGCGACGTGCCGGTGTACGTCCCCGTGGGGTCGACGCCGTGCTCGCCGCAGATCACCTCCCAGAACTTGGCGCCGATCTGGTTGCCGCACTGCCCGCCCTGGATGTGCAGGATCTCCCTCATCTTCGATCGCTTGCACCTCGATCGATCGCTCGCCGCGCGCCGATCGGTGATCCGATCTCTTTCTTGGTTGTTCTTGGGAGGTGGTTTGCGATCGATCGATGGAGAGAGGGTGGAGAACGTGGGAAGGAGAGGAGGAGGGATCGTGGGCGCTTATATCCCGCGTTTGGAGGGAACCGCTTCTCTTTCTGGGTGTTATGGTTGTGCGTGGACCAGGTGTATGGACAAATGCTTACACGTATTGATATCGCTTCAATTTATTTATTTTTTTACGGTTGTCTTCGAATTTTAAAGAGACGGTTTTCTTTGGAACTTTAAATTTTTATAGGTGACGCGTTATTTTTGGTCTGAGTGTGTTTTGGTTATTGCAAAAGAAAGGTTGATCAAGCGAAGTACTTAATTTGTGTGGACATCTGTTTTATATTATAAATCGTTTTAATTTTTTTCCTAATATAAATGCAATAGTATTTTTAACATAAACAAACATATTGTCAAGATATACTGAATGTTACACTAATATGATGTTAAAGATGTTATTTTTTTCTATAAACTTGATTAAATATAAAGTTGAAATGACTTATAATATAAAACGGAGAGAATACTAAAAATTTTGTTGTGGATTTGTTGCAGGTCAGGTATAAATCTAGTTGTACTAAATGTTCGTTTTAATTAGCGATATGGAATTATGGATGTGAGTATTGAAGTACCTGTGTAGACCATGACTCCATGAGTATGTAAAGATGTGCCAGGGTAGACCGCATGAGGTACTGTGGTATCAAAGGGGTGTGGGGACGATCACGTTGTGCTGTCTATTTTTTCTGCCACATTTTATTTTTGGCTGGGTGCAGTGGCGGGTCACCAAATAATGGGATCAATGCTAATTTACTACGGATCAATTTGGTACCTGCAAGCACACTTAGGCCTAGTTACAGATCAGAGGAAGAAAATAGCAAAATCATGGAGCACTACTTTTCTACTACAGTATTAGTATGGGGTAAGTTTTTTTTTTGGTACAACTTTTTTTGAAAGATAGTTATATGTTATTAGAGGGCACATTATATTGGCATATTTGCCACTAGTAGTATTTCTGAATGTCAAAATTTTTTAAGGCGTGTCTCAAGAGGAATGGATCCATATTAATTTTAAAGGCCTTTGTTACCTGGTAGAGACTGTCATAAAATCTCTTCATTTACACGTCCACATGTGTACATCCTTTGGGAATTTTGATATGTACTACTTCCTTCGTCCTAAATATAACACATCCTAGTTCTACAAATTTAAGCAGTCCTCCTATACAAATTTACAACACTATAATGTGTCACGTTTTGTAGTAGGTTTATTTTCTTAACAGAGGAAGTAGTTCACTAGTTCTCTACTTGCACATAGCCAGAAGTTGGCTTTTTTTGGGATAGAGGGAGTAGTTCACATGTGAGAGTACATAGTACTGGTACTTATATGTGTCAAGATTCATTAACATATATATAAATATAGACAATCGTAGAAAGTTTTATAATCTAAAACGGAGGTAATACTATTTTAGAGGAAGAAGAACCTTTTAAAATGAATTTCTTTCGTACGTGAATATATATATATATATATATATATATATATATAATATACATACATATGCACAATTTACTACTCCCTTTCTTTTAAAATAATTTATATTTTTTAAAATTTAATAATCTTTTGTATGTAAATCTGGACAAGTCGATTGATTTTGGAACGGAAGAATACCCTAAGAAAGTACACTCCCCTGCCAATGAAGAGAAAATGAGAAAACAAGTACACTGATTGTTATTAGTATATTTAAACCAAGTTTGGTATGACTTATTGTGTGCTCGAAAAAGTACGGAGACAGCTTGGCCAACAAGTGTTCTTTTTATGATTAATATAAATAGATATCAAGAGAAAAGTTAGCTGTCAACTTGTCCATAGTGTTACATTGCTCTAGCCTTGTCACGTTCAAATACTGTTTGCCATGGCATTTGCAAGGAGAAGATGCTGTTCTTGATTTCTTTCGCATCATTATCATGATGATCATCAAGTCATTGTACATACATATATATACTCGATGATTGTAAACGTTACCATACCAACCAATAATTATATTCCGAGATAGGATCCGGAGACTGGAGGGGACTGTTTTGAGTCCATCAGTCCACATGCACCAGCACATGTTGTGTCTGTCTTAAACCAACCGATATCATATCATCTAATTAACTATTAACTTCTCTTCCTAACAGGTGACAGCCATTTTTTTGCTAGATTAATACCATTGTTTTTTTAAAATTACTCCCTGTGTACAACTCCAAATTTTCTCTCGTCCAAAAATAATGTCAGATTTCTAAATGGTCTTTTCCAAAATTGTCCCTGTTGAAAGCGACGTATATATCTTAGATTCTTGAAACTGCGATCAAATAATAGCTTAGCTATAGGCCTGAAGCTTAGTTTCGTAAACAGTTTCTGGCCCAGTATAACCAAGCGGCGTTCTTAACTTGCGGCTATGGTTGGGCTGCACGGCCTGCAGGTTACCCAGACCAGACAGGTGTATAGCTGCAGAGCTAGAGAACGAATATGTCCACATTGACTCCCTCAGGTATAGCTTTAATCTAATTCTTATACTTCAACCGTAATACCTGATATCTTAACCCCAACTATTAAAACTTATGTAATAATATGATTCCCTTAATAGTTTTGGAGGACAGCTTCGCTGAATTGGCACTTTGACCTGGTCCAAACCGGCTGACTTAGTATGTGGGACCCAGTGCAACCGCTAGAGAACGACTAATTAAAGTGGGCTTGGCACGATAATTTTGGGCTCGACGTAGTAGGTCGCTGATAAAGATGGCCTAGGAGCTGCATGTATGGTCCAGAGGTGGTGAAATGGACTAGAGCCTAGAGGAGTGCGGAGAGACACAAAAAAGGCCCATATAGAATAGCCATTAACATAAGGCAAAATTTGCTACAGGACATGTAATTAGCCGAAGAACACCGGAAGAATGTGTATATGCTGGAGAGCATCGTAAAACACTGGTAATTAGCTGATGTACACTCACGACATTATTTTATTATTTCTGGAGAAAATAGAGAGAGAAACAGTTGTGAAATTATGGTTTTACCCTTGAACCCCAATAAAGGCTCACTCTCCTGTGGGACCCACCTATTAGGGAATATTATTTTTTTTCTTTTTCTCTCCTACTGTACTCCTTCGTCTTCCTTTCTTCGTCATGTCTTCTTCCATGATGGCCAGCCCCTCCCCACCCATCGCGGCTCCAGGGATAGAGTTCACGGCGCCGCCGCCGGGGCGCGACCACACGCAGGATTGCTCGCTCACCTACGCGCAGTGGAAGGAGGTGGACGCCTCCACGCGCCACCGCCTCTCGCTCGACGCCCGTGCCGCGCTCGGCTACACCGCTCAGAGGATCTTCGCGCGGTTCATGGCCATCACCAAGCTCACGCTCCGCTACGCCCAGGGCTCCGGGACGGACAGCCTCTCTGACGACGGGGCACGCCATGTGGTCGCCGCGCTGCCGTCCGAATGGCTCGCCAGGCTCAAGCTCCGCGGCCTCCGGCAGCTCTTCGACGACGGGATTGCGTCGCTCGCTGGGGCCACGCCGGTGATCCGTAAACTGTCCGTCGCATCCATCAGTTTTGGGCCGAAGGCCTTCGTCACCGTCCTCCGGTCATGCCCCCTCCTCGAGGACCTCTCCGTCAAGCGCCTTCGCGGCCTCCTGTAATCTCACGGCGTCCGGCTGGGAGCAAGAGCCAGAGACCACGAGGAGCACCCAGGCGTTGGCGGTGGCGAGGAAGAGGCCCGTGGGGCCGTGGACGCAGCCGGAACCGGAGACGACGAGGAGCAGACCGGGGGAGCCGGTGAGGAAGCCATAGGGGCAAACTTGTCTTTAATGGATATTTCTCTCTCCATTTTCTCTGGAAATAATAAAATAATACTGTGAGTGTCCAACAGCTAATTACCAATTTTTTATGGTGCTCTCCAGCAAATACGGGTTCTTACGGTGTCCCCTAGCTAATTAAAGGTTTTTTGGATGTCTTGTAGCAAATTTTCACTATTCCAACCAGGATACGCATGAAAAACAGAGCGATCCATTAGCGCGTGAATAATTAAATATTACTTTTTTAAAAAAATAGATTAATTTAAGTTCTTTAAGCAACTTTCATATAGAAACTTTTTTAAAAAAATGCACCGTTTAGCAGCTTAAAAAACATGCGCGCGGAAAACGAGGGAGAGGGGTTAGAAAAAGGGTGTGCCGAACACAACATATTCCTCTACAATAGTCACAAACCCGTGCGTTACAACGGAACGGGATCTGGTGAACGTGGTTAACGGAGCCATCGTTTCGCTTATTGACATATTTGCAAAGCAAAAATACTTTGTGAATAAAACTTTTATATACGTGTTCTTAGCGGTCTAAAAGCAAATATTGAAAAATAAACTTCGATGAAAAAACCTTAAAATCAGCTACAAATTTAAAGTTGAAAATTCAAATTTTGGCTGATAAATATAAACATAAATGAAAAGATAAGGCCCTAAAATTTTCTGTTCTTCTGTATTTCTCTCTTGGCTAGTACACCAGTTTTGTTCATGGGATCCTATAATCTTATAATACTATACAAGTGATCCCCACTTAGTGCAGTTATTAGGGATTTTCCTGAGCTGTGGTTAAGGCACGTCACCCTTTTTTTCAGCCGTTCGATCAAATCCTCGCCAACCGTTCGATTGCAATCCATCACGCACATCCCTCCGCCACTGATTTGTTGCCGCCGCCGCCGCCGCCCCGGGTCTCCCCCATCGCGCACTGCTTCCTCCCACCAATCCCCACGCGCGCTCGCTTCCTCTCCCCCATCGCGCGCGCACCAGCGCGGGCCCGCCGCCGAACGCCCTCGCTTCCTCCATCGCACGTGCGCCAGGCGCGGGCCCGCCACCGACGCCCTCGCTTCCTCTCCCGTGCCGCGTCGCGTCATCCCTAGCGCGAGCCAGCCTCTTCGGCTCCTTGGCATGTAGGAATGAAACAACAATCGTCCTATCTCCCCCAATCGTTGTGATTCCATGCCGTAACGTTAAATTCTTTGCTCGCCCTATTGTGCCACAAAATCGAAGCAAAATTAGGATACGAATGTGGTATATTCATGGTTGCCTTCATAAGCTGTCTTTAAATCCCAACTCGATCTGTGCCTATCATGCTATGGAGGATTGATCACTGGGTTCATCATTCGTGAAGGCTATTGCAACTGGCATGCTTCTGATCTCTATCTTGGTTGGATTATTTTGTGCAAATCATTTCATCGTTTCATCTCGGCTTCTTCACGTGAGACAACAGCTGATTTGTGTATTCCGTCTACCCTCAAGTGGATAAGGTAGCATTTTCTCATCCCTCATCCTGTCATGTTTAGTTTAATTATGGGCTCTCCATACTGAAACAGGGTGGTTTAGCTTTTGGATGAGTTCATTGACTGTACTCATCTTTTTCTCCCTGTACAAAAAACTGCAATGCTGTAGGTGTTCTTTCGGTGAGGCCCCTGCATGATGCAATTCTTTTTCGTTTTGTATTATTATGTTATTTTCCCTGTAATGTTAAATCATTCCTATTTGCTGATCGATTTGGCAGAACAGCTCTTGCGGTAATTGCTGGGAAGATAAATTCTGATCATTAATTTTTACCTTCAATTTTTTTTAATTCCAAAAGAGAATTCAGTTCTCTTCTAAAATGCATGAAAGTGATTTCCGAAAATTCAGCACTATATTAATTGATTTTTTAAATTTATTTTCTTACAGCAATATCATTTATTTCCATTCTATAACCCCATCTCTATCATATCGACCAAAAGAACAATGCAACTATTGGTCTCTGTTTTGTACCAAAGCAAAGCGCAATGAACATGTATTCTTTCTTTCAGGCCTAAAGTCCATATGTGTTAACTACAAACATTACCTGGCCTCTTCCTGCTTACAGTTTGCAAGTTTCTGACCAAACTTTTAAGAGTAGTTGATTTTGCCGATTTACTTCATCCACATGATCTATATAAGGACATAGACTATTTATGATTTATAAAGGTAAAATTAATACTCCCTCCGTATTTTAATGTATGACGCCGTTGACTTTTTAATCAACGTTTGACCACTTGTCTTATTCAAAATTTTTATGTAAATATAAAAATACTTATGTCATGCTTAAAGAACATTTGATGAGAAATCAAGTCACAATAAAATAAATTATAATTACATAAATTTTTTGAATAAGATGAATGGTCAAACGTTTGTTAAAAAATCAACGGTGTCATACATTAAAATACGGAGGGAGTAGAATATAGCTGTAATTTAGTACACTAAAACCAATATGAGAGGTTAGATCGATTAATGTTAGCATGGACTAGGCTAATATATTTTTATGTTAGCCTTAATTACTTTGCTAATTACTTTGTTAATCAAGCAGGGGACGTACTACTACACGAGGCGGAGCCCCGGTACTTGCCCGTTGTGGTCGGCCCTTGGCTACACCCATGACGGTTATTTCCTACCCGTATAATAAATTACCCATTTAACACATACTCAGAATACGTACCCACGAGCATGTTCTCTTTTGGCACATGGACACTAAGGATGTGTTTAGTTCACACTAGAATTGGAAGTTTGATTGAAATTAAAACAATGTGATGAAAAAGTTGAAAGTTTATGTGTGTAGAAAAGTTTTGATGTAATGGAAAATTTAGAAGTTTAAAGAAAAAGTTGGGAAACTAGGCCTAAAAGATAGGAGAGAAACGATAAAACTTTGAACATGAGAGTAAGTTTAATAGTATAGTCAACTACTAACTCCAATTCATCTATAGCCAATCTTATAGCTCATTCATACAATAATTACATACTACACTATTAATATATAGTCCCACCTGTCGTATACATACTACGTCTTGGAGTCCGTGCTACAGCTGGCTATAAATCTGTAGACCGCTGCTTTTCTCTCTCTTTATTTATCTTACTAAAATATGTTTGCAGCTGGCTTATAGCCTGCTATTGTATCTGCTCTTATGTGCATAGTCATACGTCAATTACTAACTTAGAGCTAGCATCTCAATCAAAGTGGTTACATACGGACCATCCGATTTGATATCCTACGTGTGAATTCGCTCACTAAAGTTGCACATTCGCCTCAATTGAGCTTCCAAAAACCACTCTCGTCTGTTCCATTTGGTGCTCGGTGTAGGTGACAGTGTCGTAGGTGACGTTCTTGAGGAAGATCTTGATCACGCCACATGTTCCTCGTAGATGAGCCTGGAGATGCGCTTGGGCATGCCGCGGGTCTCCTCGTAAATGAAACTAGATGATACCCCGCGCGTTGCTGTGGGATATCGTGCCTAAATAACTTTGGAGAAATGGGCACATATATATAATAAAGATCTATACAAAAATTAACACTGCAAGCTAGTTTTCAGTGGCATGCATAATTTCTAATGTCAACCTGCTTAGTGGAGCATCACTGCGTACGGCTGCAATCACGTGGATGAAATAAATCGGCAAAATCTAACGAGATCTCTAATTTTATTGGGTGCATGCATTATATTTATTAGATTAATCCAAACTATAAGGTGATAATAATTATTTCTTAGTTTTTAGCTAAGGTGGTTGTGCTTTATATTTTGGAATGGAGGGAGTATGTAATAATTGGTTATAGTTTATTTGAAATAAAGACCAGAACAAAAATAGTATGTGTGGATGGTGTGTATACACGTGTACAATCTTCTATGTAACCATAAAAAAGAGCTCACAAGGTCGTACTTAGGCATTAAGAGCCCATTGTCGACGTTTGATGTCGCGATTCCGGTATTTGCATATTATGAGGATCATTGGTACTAGGATATATGTGAGATTGTAATAAAAGAGATGGGGCCCTGAATTGTCAGGTAATAACCCTACTCCTGTTGGCCGAAGCCGGTCGTTGCTCTTATTTATCATAATCACACCAGTACAATATTTGGGGTAGTCTATCTATCTGTCGTCGACTTGGCGGCCATAAAACCATCTCGTAGTCGACAAGAGAGTAATCTTCCTCCTCGAATCCGTGTCCGGCGAGATCAAAGACAGCGCTATGTCTCTCCTGACAGTATCCGTAGACACCGTAGGGGACTAGCCATGCTTATCTCTGAAGTCGATATCCGGCGTCTTGTCTTGGCGTATGTTGGCTTGTATGTTGATCTTGTGTTTGATCTATTGTTCCGTGTCCCCTCTCCTTCTAGGGGGTCTTGTATTTATACCCGTAGGTGTCCCCTTGTCCAAGTAGAACTAGGGAAACCAATATGGATACAATCCGAGTAGTTCTTGTCGTTTCCATGTAGAACTCTATTCATCCTTCCTTATGCGGAACTCCTCCTATATCCGAAGGTTGTTTCCGTATAAGACATGGTATGTGGTGGGTCCTGCCGAGATTTAGTCAACTACTATTAGATATGTGGTATCCATAACCCTAACACCTATCTTTTGGGTTATATTCATGCTTACCCATAAGTCGTATTAGCAACTTAAAAAAATAATTTGTAGGTAAAATTTATACATATGTACTCTTAACTATGCAACAGCAAATGCTATAAAATAAATTATGATTAAAAAGGAAAAAATAACTCTGAAATAAGTTTTAAAATTTAAATTTAAATTTAAGTAAAAACATGAGGCTGTAACACTAGTACGACCTATATAGCCCGTATACGCTTGCAATATGGATCAGTG